TAAAAATACAAAAATTATCTGGGCGTGGTGGCGGGCGCCTGTAATCTCAGCTACTTGGGAGGCAGAGGAGGCAGGAGAATAGCTTGAACCCGGGAGGCGAAAGTTGCAGTGAGCCGAGATCATGCCACTGCACTCCAGTCTGAGTGACAGAGTGAGATGCTGTCTCAAAAAAATCAAACGATCAATCAATCAATCCCAGCTTTGCATGCACTGTGTCACCTGGGCAAGTTACTTAATCTTTCTGTGCCTAGTTTCCTCCTCTGTAAAATGGGGCTAGAAACTGAGCACCAGTTCACGCATGGTTGTCCATATCCAGCAAGACGCAGGTGAGGGTGTGGCATTTCTGCTGGTGGCAGCAGGGCTGAGATGACTTCCTGGAGGAGGCAGCAGTTATTCTGAGCCAGGAAGAAACTTGAGAATAAGGGCAGATCGTGGAGGGCCTTGCAACCATAGGAAGATTTTGTTCCTCATCCGAGTGGAGGCAGCGGCAGTCCCTCTGGCTGTGATGTGCAGAATGGTGGGGAGGGAGTGACACCAGGAAGGCGGCTGTCCCAAAGGTCTGAGCAGAGGGTTTGGGGCGCCAGGGAGGGAGCAGTAGAGAGCAGGCTGATATTCAGGAGATAACCAGGACTTGTAAGGCTGTGGGCATGGGAACAGAAGGGGATGCTCTGCAAAGGGCCTGGGCCTACCTTGGCTCCTCCCTCACTTCTCAACCTAGCCAGGAGCAGAGAATAGGACAGTCTCAAACCTAGACATCCCAGTGGGCTTTGGGCCTTGGAGTGGAGAGAGGATGAGAAAAGATGCCTGGGCTGTTGCAATCGGGACGGATCCCTGGAGGAGGCAGAGATGTAGAGAGGGGAGGGGAGGGAGGAGATCTCAGGTACAAGGTTTGTTCCCTGGGCGGCAGCTGCAGCCACAAAATCTGCCAAGCAAGGTCCAGCTTAGGCATGTCAGGATAGGACTCGGCCCCCGATCCCTTCAACAGTCCCCAATGCCACTTGGGCTGCCAGGCCCTGTGCTGGGTCCTGGGGACACTAATGGCTCTGTCTGCCCTCAAGGGGCTTCCCAGGGGGCCGGACAAGCAAGGGGCTGAGGCCTCCTGAAGAAAGCATGGCAGTGGAGTCACGCAAGGGGCAGTGTGGACACAGAGGATGTCAAGGAAAGACCCCACGAGGAGGAGGCATCTGAACTGGGCTCTGAAGGCAGAGAAGGAACTGGGGAGGCACAGGAGTGGCGGGCTGGGGGGCTTGATGCCCCAGGAGGGGGTGCCTTGTGCAAAGGCACTAAGGCAGTGAGACCCAGGATCGGGGCTGGACTGTGGAGGGCCTGGGTGTGGAGAGGGCCTGGGTGTGGAGAGCCAGCAGGGCCTGGGTGTGGAGAGCCCAGAGTGCCTTCTCCAGAGGGCAGCGGGAGCAGTCCTGGCTGGGAGTTCTGTGGGCCCGACTGTGACTGGGAAGAAAGATGGCAGGGATTGCCCCACTCCTCCCGCGCAGACCTCTCAGGCCCTCCCATGCCCCCTCCACTGGCCAGATCAGGAAATGAGCCCAAGGTTGCCAAGAGCAGGAGCTGGAGGCCAAGCCTCTGGCCTTCACGCCCACCCTGGCCGGGTCACCCTGTGTGGTGTGGATCTTCTGGGCTGGCGGGAGGCAGAAAGGAAGAGCATTCACCTCAGTTTATCTGGACACATGGAAGAGGTCGTGCGGCTCCAGCCTCCAGCTCCACACACTCTGCCCTTCCTCTGCCAGGGCAGGGACTGGGAACAACCTGAGGCAGCAGCCGCACCTGATGCCATTCTCCCTACCCCTTGCAGGTATGAATTTGGCCCAGCCCTGTTTGTGGGCTGGGCCTCAGCTGGCCTGGCCGTGCTGGGGGGCTCCTTCCTCTGCTGCACGTGCCCGGAGCCAGAGAGACCCAACAGCAGCCCGCAGCCCTATCGGCCTGGACCCTCTGCTGCTGCCCGAGAGTACGTCTGAGCTCCTCCTGCCCTGGCCAGCCCCCCACCCGGTGGCCCCCTCGTCCAGCATCCAGCCAGCCTCGCAGCACCCTGGGCAGGGCCACTGGGACATAGGATGGGCATAGGTGCTCTGAGTAGCTTATCCTCAACGCAAGCACCCACCTTGCAATCCGAGACCCAGATCCTCAGAGAGACCAGAGGCAGGACCCAGCCCCCAGGCACACACACGGATGCAGGTCCAGTCACGGTCCTGTCTGCACAGCCTGGTGGGCACCAGCATGCATCCCTGGAGACAGGCCCTCAGGCACCAGCCCGGCTGTTTACTCACTGAAGAGCCGCGAGGGTGTCTGCTATGTGCTGGGCCCTGGAGTTACAGCAGTGGCCAAGAAGTACCTTAGTACCCGGGTCCTTGGGGTGAGCAGAAACCTTCACCCTCCCCAGTCCCATGGGCTCCTCACAGCAACCCCACAAGGGCAGTGCCGGGATGCTGAACGTTCACACGAGGACAGGGAGGGTCTGAGTTTAGGTCTCAGGTTCTTCCAGTGCACCCAGGGCTGGGGGCTACCCACACAGATGGCTAGGTCGGACCACGGCACCCCCGCCCCCGGGCATGGGCCCCAGGCAGGGCTGCTGTGAGGGCCAAGGTCTCGCCATGCTGGCCAGTACCCATGTCCGGGCCTGAATGCACAGCCCCTGTCCCCGACCCCACAGCTCACTCCACTAACCAGCTCTCTCTCTTTTGACTTTCAGACCAGTTGTTAAATTGCCCGCCTCCGCCAAGGGCCCCCTGGGTGTGTAATGTCCAGTCCCCAGCCAGGCTCTGTCCCCTGCCATACCTAGACTCTGTGTTTCATATTTTTTGGAAAGAGAAGTGAACATCCAGCCCCAATCATGGTGTCATTCAGTCTGTCCTCGGCGTGACTTGGACGGGGCCTGGGTCAGAGTGGTCAGTGCTGACCCCTGGGGCTCTTGGGCAGAAAGATGAGGAGACAGAGGTCCAGGGTGGGTTACACAGCACATCCAAGGCTGAGCAGGAGACAATTCAGGGCTCCTACCCCCTATCTAGGGAACCCCCTCCCAAGCCTGGCCTTGGCCTTGGCTCAAGGTCCTCCTTGATAGGAGACCCCACCCACTCCTGGAGGCTGCCCCTGAGGCCTGGCCCAGCTCTGGGAGCAGGCCCCTGGGTCACGGAGCCCCTGGTGTGGAAAGAGGCCCCAAGGTAGTAAACCCTGCCCCTGTTACTGTGCTCCAGAGACCTCCTAAGGGAAGGGACAGTTCCTGGAAGGCCCTCCAGCTGGATGCTGGGGATCAGAGATAGATGAGGGAACACGGTGTAGGAGCTCCCTATGTAGAAAAGGGAATGTGGGGAGGGCGTTAGGAGCTTGCGGGCATCAGGACTGTCCTGAGCAAGGTCTGCAGCCCCCAGCTCTGCTCACCCCGAATCCTGCCCCTTGTTTCCACACCTACCATTCCTCCTCTCCTGATCCCCAGCATCCAGCTGAGGTCCAAGGTCTTTTCCTAGAACCAGGGTGGGGAGGGGACAGCCTGAGGCTGCCCAGAGACTGTGGCTGGAACTGCTTGCTGCACCCAGCAGTACTGTCAGAGTTAGAAGGGCTTTTGGTCTTGAAGTCCAGGTACCATCCCCGCTTAGTATAGAGGGGGAAGGGCCGGAGAGGAATGTAGGGAAACCAGCCCAGGTCAGTCCCAAGGCCAGAGTCCTTTGTCCTACATCTCCCGGAACCAAAGTGTGCCAGCCCCGCCCCTCATGCTCAGACCTCTCCCACTCCAAACCCTCTCAGGTGTATCCAAGTCTCTTTGGCCACTGCATAGCAGGCTTCTGGGGAGAGCATCCATCACAGAACCTCCCCTTCCCTGCTATGCACCTTCCTTGGCCAGCCCCATTCTGGCCTCCTCCACCACCTGCCTTGTGACCACATCTCCCACCAAGTCCCCAGATCTCAAGAATGCCGCTCGGCTTCTCCTTCGAGCTTGACTCTGAGAGGGAAAGTGATGGAAACCAAGTCAGATGAGATGACTGCCACGTACACTGCAGTCGAGGGCAGGGGCAGGAGGAATGACACAAATGGCAGGGAGCTGCTGGGGGACTGACCCCTCAGCGCCTGGCCTGGCCGGCCCTGCACATCCACCGGGGCACCACAGGGGCTTGTCCAGTCTCTGGTCAGAGGGTGTGGCCACCCGACCCTAAATAGGCTCCCCAGAGTCCTGCCCCCCTAATCATGAATGATAACTGCAAGAGTTTTCCTCTGGGTGCCTGAAGCTACAGTGCAATGGTTCCCAACCCTGCGTGCACATTCGAGTCACCTGGGGGCGACGCCCAGGCTCCAACCGCAGACACTCTGACTTCATTGGTCCGGGTGGACCTGCCATCAGAGGTCAGGTAGCTCCTCAGGGGACTGTAGTGTGTGGTCAGCACTGAGGGCTCCTCTATGAGGCCTCAAGCCCAGGTCTCTGTGAGGCCTGCAGACGGAGAAAAGAACCCACAAGAAAAGAGGTGGAGTCCAGGCGTGGTGGCTCATGCTAGTAATCCCAGCACTTTGGGAGGCCAAGGTGGGTAGATACCTGAGGTCAGGAGTTCGAGACCAGCCTGGCCGACATGGTGAAACCCTGTCTCTACTAAAAATACAAAAATTAGCCAGCTGTGGTGGTGGGCACCTGTAATCTCAGCTACTTGGGAGGCTAAGGCAGGAAAATCGCTTGAACTCGGGAGGTGGAAGTTGCAGTGAGCCGAGATCACGCCACTGCACTCCAGGCTGGGCGACAGAGCGAGACTCCATCTCAAAAGAAAAAAAAAAGAGATGGGTAGAGGAAGCCCCAGCTCACTCCTGCCTTTCCCGATACCAGGCTGTTCTGTGACATGCCCACATCTTTCCAATCAATTCCCCTTTTGGCTGAAAAAACATTGAGTTTGAGTCCTGTCCCACACAGCCAGAAGAGCCCTGCCTAACAGGATTTGGAACCTGGAAACTCAGCGCAGCCTTGCAGAGTCCTGTTGTATGGTGCCAGCGGAGCAGGGATGGGATCATCCTCCTATTCTAGGCTGGGTGTTGGGCAATCCTTGCTATTTGGTCATGAAGCAGCTGGCCAGGAAACCACACGTCATTCTCTCTTGAGCTTCAGGGTCCAATGGAGAATGCCGGGATAGAGTGCGCTGGCTCCTTCTTGTGGGTTTCAGGGACAGACTGCAAGGGAGACAAGATACGTGCAAGTGGCGGGGGGCGGTGGGGGCGCTGGAGGGGGTGCCTGACGGCAGAGTAGGAACAAGCTTCAGTCTGTTCCTTTGTTAGGGGAAGCCCTTTCTGCCTATAGCCAGGGATTGGAGAGGCAGAGGGTCAGAGAACCACACCTCGCTGAATTGAACAACCAATTAATACACTGATTTAAAATGTTGTGAGATCCTGGCAATGGGAAGATATCTGGGAAAAAACTAGAGGAATTTGAAGCTAAAAGACTTTGAGATGCCTGGTCCCACAGGCTTCTCCTGAAGCAAACCCACTCCCATATTTACAAGACCACCTGAGCTGCCAACCAGAGGCAGGGCCGATAATCCAGGCTTCATGTCCAGGCTGTTGTTTACTGTCCTAACCTTAAGGCTACAGGACTGGGGAGAGACCCAGGAAGGTAGGGCTCAGACTCAAAAGGCATGATTCTAAAGCTTTTGCCTTATTCTAGAGCATTGTGTACTAGCAAACAGAGTCCCCCCACCCCGAGAAGGAAATTGGCAGGCCATAAAATACGGTTGTAGGATGAATACACCCATGTACTCAGCCCCAGGGCCAAGGAGCACAGCAACGTAAGGTGTTCAGCAAAAAGGAGTGAACCTGAGCCACTGGAGGAGCTGACCAGGAAAATCAGCTACTGCTTGGGAAGAGGCTCAAAAACCGTGCAGCTGAGAATACAGCCTATGGACTGACTATTAGATTATGAAGAAGTTATTGCCGGGCGCAATGGCTCACACCTGTAATCCCAGCACTTTGGGAGGCCGAGGTGGGCGGATCATGAGGTCAGGAGATCGACCATCCTGGCTAACACGGTGAAACCCCGTCTCTACTAAAAACACAAAAAATTAGCTGGGCGAGGTGGTGGGCGCCTGTAGTCCCAGCTACTTGGGAGGCTGAGGCAGGAGAATGGTGTGAACCCGGGAGGAGGAGCTTGCAGTGAGCGGAGATCGTACCACTGCACTCCAGTCTGGGCAACAGAGTGAGACTCCGTCTCAAAAAAAAAAAAAAAAAGAAAAAACGATTATCAAGGAGTTATTGTTAATTTTGTGTTACAAGTATTGTTAGTTTTGTGTGATAATGATACTGTTTTTTTGTTTGTTTGTTTCTTATTATTCTTATCTGGTAGAGGTGCATGCTGAAATGATATAATGGTTGCATTTGCTTTCAAATAACAAAGAAAAAGTTCAGAGGCAGTGAAAGTTATAAAAAAAGATTGGTGAATCCCAGTGGTACTTAGGGGTTCTCCTTGTGTATGTTCATAAATTAAAAAAATAAAAAGTTTAAAAATACCTCTAAGGTTTGCTGGTTTTATCACGTAATAGAATCCTCCTGACCAGGGGAGTAAGAATGATGGACACCCCAGAGATTTGCTATTCAAAGCACAGTCCTCAGATGGCAGCAACGCATCACCTGGAATCATTAGAAATGCAGATTTGCAGGCCCCGCCCCAGACCCCGTGACTCAGACGTGGCATTTTAACAAGCTCTCCAGGTGATTGAGACACAGTGAAGTTTGAGAAACACTGATGCAGCTGGTGAGAGCTGTGTGGTGCTTCTCCTTTTTGAGGGGAGAATTTCAACGGACCTTATCCTGTTTTCCTCCATCATTTGCATATTAGGTATATTGAAAGTGGTTCATTTTATGATTTTTGTCTAGAGCTGGCAAATTATGAGGAGCTACAACTAAGCATGATCCAGGCCAGGTGGGTGGCTCACACCTGTAATCCCAGCACTTTGGGAGGCCGAGGTAAGAGGATTGTTTGAGGCCAGAAGTTTGAGACTAGCCTGTGCAACAACCCTGTTTCAGTTATTTAAAATTTAAAAACATTTATTTAAAAAACAAAAGTTAGCCAGGTGTGGTGGTGTGCACCTGTAATCCCAGCACTTTGGGAGGCCAAGGCGGGTGGATCACCTGAGGTCAGGAGTTCGAGACCAGCCTGGCCAACGTAGTGAAACCTCGTCTCTATTGAAAATACGAAAATTAGCCAGGCGTGCTGGCAGGTGGCTGTAATCCCAGCTGCTTGGAAGGCTGAGGCAGGAGAATTGTTGGAACCTGGGAGGCGGAGGTTGCAGTTAGCTGAGATCATGACATTGCATTCCAGCCTGGGTGACAGAGCGAGACTCTGTCTCAAAACAAAACAAAACAAAATAGATACAGGCAAAATTTCAAATGAAGACAGGCAACACCCAAAGTAGTACTTCCCAATTTTTTCTTCTCATCAAACACATAAAAATATATTTTGTTCAGCTTATGAAAATACTGCAGGCAATTTCATTCTGGCCAACCCTCCTGTTGAAAACAACTAAAAATGGGTGAAGTGTAAAAAATTCTTCAAAGCATCAAAGAGCTGACAAGGATCCTATGGAATCACCAAGTCAAAGCCTCAGGAGTTTTTCCTCTCCCTCTCAGCCACATGGTGGCCCACGAGGTCACCACAACGCTGAGGAGTGGTTGGCTGGCATGGCTGGAGATTAGTTACATATAAGGGGATTAAACAAACGTGTAAATATGCTGAAGAAAATGGGAGCCAGGCTTCCAAAGATGGAAAGGGGGAAAACTAGAGTAAATTCTGTGGTGTTGGATTCAAATTGGGGTTATCTGGATGAACTTGTGGTTTTTAACATATGTAGATACATATTGAAATAAATAC